GGGTCACTATGAGTCGCAGGCGACTCAGACGGCACATAACAACAACAACAACAACATATCATATCATATCATATATCACTATATAATTATCTTATCTTATATTATCTCTGGGATAAGCCTAAATAGATAAAAATGTTGAAGTATTCATAGTCCTCTCTATACTTCATCTCTATATTTCTTCAAAGAAGAAACTGAAGAATGAGTAGGCGATCTTCTATGTAATGGTGAATCTGGAAAGAGAATTCTGATGCTTTGATCACTCATACTTTCCTTCCCATAGCTGACCATCCAGTGAGTTTTCAGAACCTACAAGTCACACAGGAGGATATTGACTACTATCTTTCTCCCTCGGAGCAACTGTGATTGAAACTGCCTGCCTTTGGGTTGGCAGCACAATTCCTTACCCACTGAGCCACCAGAGTTTCTATAATCACTGCAAGACATTTAGAGATTGCAACTGAAAACAGTTGAGTAATGAAGTATATATGAATTTGACTGACTTTGCTTTCCTCAGTGAGGAAGAGACCATATTAGTGTTAAGCCTTGAAAAGTTTTAATTATAAGCTTACAAATTTCATAAGACCAGTATATTGATTCTGCTGCTGGTCCCCAAACTTTATGACTACTCAGCTAGATAATGCCCAACAACAATTGGTCATCCTCACATTAGAATGCAGGTTGCTTTCTTTCCATGTCCCCAGAGATATTTCATGCTTTTACCATGGGTTATAAAGAAGGCTTCTCTGGGTACCCTGAACTCTTAATTTTTTGTCACTCTTCTTTCAAAAAAATACTAATATACTGGAAATCAAAAGACAGAACAAAACTATCTTTTTTTTAAAGACAGCTTAGATCTTTATTGTTCATTCTTCCCTTTATAGTTCTGCAATTCAATCAAACATTTTTTACAAAAAATAATGCAACTGTTATGAGAAGAAAATAACATTGTTGTGTGGACTGTAAATGTTTAGTCATAAGATTCTATCCACAAAGCTGTATTCTGTTTATAAGAAACAAAACACTAGTTTGTTGTATAGATATACAATTACAGACTTAAATAGAAATTAATGGCATAACTTAGTTAGAAGCATGAGTTTTAGAGGTAGTAGATCTGAGTTCAAACTCTCTTTGCTTTCTAACATTAGGTAATTTTTTCATCTTAACTAAGAACAACATAGTATATACCTTATAAGGTGTTTATATTTGAAACCCTTAACGTAGGCAGACAACTGTCATTACTGTTATTTTTTTTGCTTTAAGCATAGTCTTAACATACCAGTTATGTAAAAAACCTGAGGATATGTTCTATTAAAACATTCTTTTGACCATGGATTGCAAATATAGATGCCTTTTTGACACAGCAAGTAGCATAGAAAAGCAGAGTTCTGAACCGATTTGAACTGTTTTTAGTCAGGGCTCAAAAATGACGTTAGAGGGGGGCAGGGTCGGGGTCGAGGGGGATTGTATACCAACGAAGAAGTTTATCTTTTGCTTTTCAAAGAGAGGAGCAAACTGGGAGTAGGGAGTAAAGAAAAAAGTGCAACAATGAATGAATGAAAATCCAAAATCTCTGTAAATGTTCATTAAAATTAGTAAGATAAAATTTAAAAAAAATGAAGTTAGAACAGGATTGAATTTTGAAAATCGACCAAGGACAATGGGGAAAATTACTGGTCAAAGCTCTGAAATGGGAGACTGGGAAGGGGCGTAGTGAACCCCTTTTGGGAGCCTGATATGAAAAATGGGATTATTACCAGAGTGGTAGAGAGCAACACACAAAGTAGCAGAGTTAGCACCATCTTTAAGCTGGTACTGTTGTTTCGGATGTTGCTGGGGAAGAGAGGGGTTGTTGTGCAGCCCATGTTGCTCTTGTGTAAGAGGAAGGTTAAGTTTCTAACAAAATATTGACCCATAATTTTTACTATTCTGGTTCACCTGTATTTTACGAATTTGAATCCAGTCTTGTTTTGCTCTGTTAGCTGGGAAGAACTGGTTTGAAGTCATGTAAATAAGTTAAACAAGCTAGTTAGAACATGCTAGAAAAAGTGGAAGAAACTAGTAAATTGAAGGTTATTTGACATTTGTGTTAGAAAGGGCAGCCACAAGTCCTTTTCAATAGACAACTCAGTTCTAGCAGAGAATATTAGCTCAGTATTCTGGATGCTTCTGTTTTCCAGAAGCCAGAAATTTGTATGTTTTTGTGAAGTCTTCCAGATTTAAAATGTTGAACTTGTCAGGTAAAACATGCCTTATCTTTAGATTAGGTGACAAAGAGCTACCACTTTGCAACTTGACTATTCAGATGATCTGAAAAAGGGGAGAAAAATAGGGAATTAAGTCTGAAAAACTTCAATCTATTATTGTTACTTGAAAGCAACAAGTCTTCCAACCCCCTACGCTAAGAGGAAATATACTATGTAATTTATTTCTATATACATACTTACCATAGGCTCAAGCAGAGCCTTCCCCCCCCCCCCAGAAAATACTGTAAGTTATGTCTGTGGAGTGGCTTTTGTTTGAGCAATTTCCAATTATTCTGATGCAAAGAGTTTGTATAGGACTGAGTTAACCACAAATAAGAGTGACGGGGACCTGGTGTTGGTGTTTGGATCATGCCACTTATCCAGTGCTTCAATTTGGAAAGGAAGGTGGGTCTGCAGTACACAAAAAAATTTCTTTCAACAGTACAAAACAAATATTTCATCTATTTTGAGTCCATTTTTGTTAGGAAAAAGGTATGTGTATATATGTATGAAAATGTCTGTGGCATAGTAAAATACTAACCACATTTATCCTCAAGGGATTTCCATCATCTGTAATAGCTTTAAATAGGAAAATGTTATTTTTTTCAGTAATTGTTCAAACATATTCACTAAAAAGATTACTAAATATTACAGTAAAAAACCTATAAGGCATTTGAGGCAATTTTTTTGTGTTTTGAGTTTTTAATTTTTGTTTCATTTACCAGGTGGATATGAATCTGAATGAGGAGAAACAGCAACCTTTGAGAGAGAAGGACATTATCATCAAGAGGGAGATGGTGTCCCAGTACTTGCACACCTCTAAGGCTGTGAGTTCTGGGGCAGGTATCTGTAACGTGGAAACTATGCCTTTATCTTAAACCCTTAGATGACTGTTTGTTTTGTGAATTTTATGTGATATTTTCTGTCTTTATCCATTCTGTTTCCTTCTATTGTATATCCCCTTCGATTTTTACTCTCTCATTTAAGTTAACCATTCTTGTGTACTTTTTTCCTAATTAATATTTATGAAATACTTATGGGGAATGGGATGAGAAATTCTGTCTCGTCTGTTTGATGGTCTGTATGATGTTTGTCTACCCTAATCCATCACTGATGCTGCAGTGACTAACATTAGTCCCCAGTTTGTGACTGGGTCCAGTGTGTACTGATCTCTCTTTTTGCTTCTTATCTAGGGCATGAGCCAGAAGGAGAGCTCTAGGTCTGCCATGATGTACATTCAGGAGTTGAGGTCAGGCTTGAGGGATATGCCTCTGCTCAACTGTCTAGAGTCCCTTCGTGTCTCTCTCAACAACAACCCTGTCAGGTGAGGATTCTGAGGAAGTAGCAGGATTAGAAAATGATGTTGGAGTACACTGGAGGAAATGAAAGATAAAGGAGTCAAGCAAGTTTGATAATGGTCTGCATTTGGAGTAAAAGAGTTATGAGGATAAACTTTTTTTTTGTGACTAACTACCTATTGCCTGGATTGAATATTGTGTTGTCTTTGTGTTGTTCCTTACAGTTGGGTGCAAACCTTTGGTGCTGAGGGCTTGGCCTCCCTGTTGGACATCCTTAAACGACTTCATGATGAGAAAGAGGAAACTGCCGGGTGAGAACTTCCAAGTCCTGTCATCTTCTAGGTGGAGGGTAGTAAGAGAGTGAGTTTTCTCTGAAGGAGAAAAGAACAGTTAAATGTAAAATTATGGACCAGGTGAATATGTTATTAGATAAGAATAGGATTTATTATAAGGGTAACAAGAGGATAAATAATGATTATAGATACAAGAAAAAGAGGGGAGGAGCTTGAGTTTAAAGGTTTCATTCAACTTTAAATTTTGTTTTCATATATGTACAGTTTTTAATTTTACTAGTTTATTTACAAAGTTCAAATATATTGTTTTCCCGAACAGATTCTTCCAGTTTCCCTCACCCCCCATCAAATTATACAACTCCATGATTAATCTCTGCTTACACATCCTCATCCCTCGGCTTCCACCCTCCTCTCCACCTTAGATCCTTATACTCATTCTACAATAATGGTTTTATACAGTTATTTGTCCTTGTGGACTGAGTTTGTTCACTCAGCATAATGCTCTCCAGTCCCTCCCAAGTTAGGTAATAATTTACAAAATCGTTGTTCCTGCGTGCTGTGTAGTATTCGATTGTGTGAATGTACCATAATTTCTCAGTCCATTTGTTTGTGGTTGGTCATCTGGGCTATTTCCATGTTCTTGTGAAGGTGAATAATGCTGCTATGAACATTGATGTACAAGTCTTCATTTGAGCCTCACTTCTAATTTTCTCATGGTATATTCCAAGTAGTGGAATAGCTGGGTCATATGTTCAGCTTTTGAGGAAGCACCAAACTGTCTTTCAGAATGGTTGTCATTTTACAATCCCACCAACAATGTATAAGAGTTCTTGCCACATCCTCTCCAACATTTATTACTTGCTGTCCTGTTAAAATTTGCCAGTGTTACTGGAGTGAAATGGTACCTCATTTTGGTTTGATTTGCATCTCTCTTATTGCCAGTGATTTTGAGCATTTCTTCATGCATTAGTTTGCAATTCTGATATCTTCCTCTGTGAAAATTCCTTCCATGTCATTTGCCCATTTTGTAATTGGGTTATCAGTCTTTTTCTTGTGGAGGCCCAGGAGCATTCTGTAAACTTTTGTTATTAGACTCTTGTCTCAGATGGTATTACCAAATGTTTATTCATATGTGTACATTTTTATAATGAGTTTTATTACTAAATTTGTTAAATGCTCTGTTATTACTGAAAGGTTAGTGATTTAAACACATTAACTGCTTTGTGGAAGAGAATGTTACTGGGAAAACCATGATTCTGCTCTGTGCCTCTAGAAAAACCAATCTTGGAAGAAAGGAACTATGTAGTATATACTAATATGTAGGATATAGAGAGTGTGAGCTTCCCATCTGTCTCATCATCTTGGAGACTATAGGCACTAATATAGGGAAGGAGCAGGACAGTGAACTATGAGAAGTTTATAGTATTTTCTCTCTGGTGGCCTAGTGATAAGAAGCTGCACTGCAATCCCCTATAGCATGAGATTTGAATCCACCAGCTGTTCCATGTGAAAAGGATGTGTGGTCTCCTTCTGTGCTATTTACTGCCTCTGAAAACCTACAAGAGAGTCAGCTGTGAGCTGGTTCTGACTGGAAGGCACACAACCATCACCACCACAAAATATATGCCAGATAATATTATTGTTGTTATTACATGCTGTTGAGTTGGAACTGACCTTCCAGTGAGTTTTCAGAGGCAGCAAATTGGACAGGAGGAGATTGGCCATTTTTCTCCCGTAACATAAGATGATTAGTCTCAAAACTTTCATGAAAAAAACACAAAAAAAGAATTTTTTTTTTTAAAAAAGCTATTAGTTGATCTTCTGTGATCTCCTCCTCATTTTAAGCGTCATTATATTTGGTTTTGTTTGTGCCATTTCCTTTTTTTAAAAATCAGAATGATTTCTATAAATACATAGAATATTTAGAATAAACCTTGTGTTTCAGTTAGGGAGCTGTGGGAGTTTTTTTTGGTTGGGATGTCTCTTTTTCTTTTCTTTTTTTTAGTTTTTGTTGTTTATTGTGGATTGTTTTATTATTTTATTTTTTTTTTTTTTTTTAAAAAAAGGATAACCAGTCTTCCAGCTCAAGTTCTTACTCAGTCTGGAAATAGGATCTGGTTTCATGTAGAGCTGCCCTATGATCTGGCCTGGGTCATGTCCCTTTCAGAGGTGCAGTTATATGCATAATCTGTTTCTTGATCTAGATCTAGCATTACAGTGGTCTTTAACACTGGGATAATTCCAACAGTACCTTGAACTGCCTTAGGCTACCTTGAAGCCATCTTGAACCAAAGTGACTACTTTTGGGGGACCTTTCTGAAACAATTCAAGGGCTGGCCTCCTCCATCTACCCTCCCAAATAGAAAGTTTTTATTTAGGGAGGCAAATAATAATAGATGGGATGTTATTCTGATAGAAATTAGCACTTAGGCGCTCAAGAGAGTTGAAGTAAAGTTTTAATGTAATTTTAAAAACTTGGATTGAGAGAGAATAAACCAAAGACCTTTGATGATAGAGATACTTCCTCAGCTATCTACTTGTTGCTAGGATTTAACAGCAAAGTGTTAAGTGCCAGACTTTACTTAGACAGTAGTTGAGGTGCTCCTACAATCCTTGTTTGCAAGATTGAAAATCCAGATGGGAAAGGGACAAGGAAAAAAAGAACTTCACTAATTTTGTCTTCTATCTACAGAAGCTATGATAGCCGTAACAAACATGAGATCATTCGCTGCTTGAAAGCATTTATGAACAACAAGGTAAGCTCTTTACTATTCCTATTTTAGTCTCCATCTTAACTTTATTTCCTTTCTATTGGCAAACCCACAAAAGGAACTAGGAGTATAAGATTCAAGTCTCTAACTCTCCCCTGTTAGTCTCATATGTGATTTTCGTTGCCATATATGCAGTTTCCTTTAGGCCTTTCTACATACCTACACGCGCACCGTTTCTAGCTTCTACTTCAGAGAGTTGGTTCGATTTTCTTTATCTTTTCATACTTTCTGTTACTGAGCCTTGAATTCCGTAATCTTTAACTATCATTTTGTTGGAATAATTGCTTTATTCTCTGCTTGGGTTTGTTACAGATTGCTAATACTTTAGGATCTTTTCACCTCTTTAGTATTCAAAAGATTTTCCTCTAGGAGTCCACAATTATTTGGCCCTAAGTACAAATCTCTCTTTCATTGTCTAGTATTCCCTTGGATATTTATTTATTTTGTGTTAAGGAGAAATATTCATTCTTGGAAGACATAGAATAATAATATATCATCTAGAAAGTTATTTGTCTTGCTCATTTCTGTATTAGGAAAAGTATTCTGTCCCTGAACCTGTCCCTTTCTAGATGCCTACTTTAAGCTGTCCTTCTCTGTTCTTGTTCTTCTAGTTTGGAATTAAGACAATGTTGGAGACAGAAGAAGGAATCCTGCTGCTGGTCAGAGCCATGGACCCTGCTGTGCCCAACATGATGATTGATGCAGTTAAGCTGCTGTCTGCTCTTTGTATCCTCCCACAGCCAGAGGACATGTATGCTCTTGGAATGATTTCTCTCTTCTCTGTTTCCTTTACCATTGTCTCTAGTTTAGAGGATAACTGAATTGTGTATTGCTGTGTTGGTCTTAAGTACTAGACAACACAGGTTTATTTTCCCCGAAAGTGAACACTATGAAGTTTAAAACATTCCTAAGTGATGAGGCCTGTCCTGGAGGTACCACTGAGTATTCGAGGTCTTACAGGTTGTCTTCTGTGTTTCCGTATTGTCTTTATTGATTGTATTTTTACTCCACCCCCTCATACATTTTTAAAAAAAAATTCAAATACAGAAGTTGATAAAGTAAAATTTAACAGCCTAATCCATCCACCACATCCAACTCTATATAAAGTTTATTATATCAGCTTAGTATAACCTCATAGATCTTTTTCTAAACATGTTGTTGTTATGTGCCATCGAGTCGCTTGCGACTCATAGCGACCCTGTGTACAACAGCCCTAAACTCTGCTCTGTCCTGTGCCAATCGCACTGTCTCTGACACTCCCATCCCAATTATCCCAGTCACTGAATCAATCCACCTCATAGAGGGCCTTCCCCTCCTGCGCTGTCCCTTCACCCTCCCAAGCATGGTGTCCTTCTCCAAGGAGTGGCCTCTCCTCACAACATTTCCAAAGTATGTTAGATGGAGCCTCAGAATCCTTGCCTCCAAGGAGCCACCCAGTTTAAACATACACAGACATATTTCATTTCCTTAATTCTTAGATGTCTTTCACCATCCCAAAGGATGATATTTTAGAACTGAGAAGAATGGCTTATGATTCTGAAACTAGTATGATGTGTGGAAAAAAAAAACCCCAGTAAAAACAACCCAGTAAGATGTTTAGACTTATTTTTGTGGCAGGTTCTGATTTAACAAAAACTGAGTTACAAAACAAATTTTCACACCTACTTTCCTTTTATTTAACAGTACATCTTGAACTTTTATGTTAGTATTTACAGATCTATCTTATTATCACTGGAAGTTATTCAGAATTCAATAGCATATACCATAACATATTTAACAAATCCTTATAAAGAATTGCTTGGTTCCTAGAATTTGTTTTCTACCAGCAGATTCTGGCTCCTCCTGTATATGATAAACATTTCTTACTCTTACAAATGTTATAATAAACATCTTTGCACATGTGTTATTTCATATTTATACATCAATGTTGGATGTGTTTCTAGAAGTAATTAAAATGTTGCATGTATTAAAAATGGATTGGGTGGCTTTAGATACTCCTCCAAAATTTGTACCAATTTATGCATCATAAAATAGGGATTCTAGTTTGGTATGTCAGTATTTTAGGAATGAGCATTTGGAAGTATATTTTCTAAAGAGATGGTCTTAGATTTCAGTAGATCATGTCTCCCAGTACAGGGATGAGAAGAGTGATGTGAGAAATTTAGAGCATTGATAACATTCTGTTTCCTAAGGGTTCTGTACCCTTATGTAATCTTCCTGTTATATGTGTCTGTCATGGCTCCTGGGCAGTTCTGTTTTTCTTTTTTCTTAAACAGGAATGAAAGGGTTTTGGAGGCAATGACAGAAAGAGCTGAAATGGAAGAAGTAGAACGTTTTCAGTCACTGCTAGATGGATTAAAAAGTGGGACTTCCATTGCACTCAAGGCATGTATATCCCTTGAAACTGGGCCCAAGGATAGAAATCAAGGTGCAGAGGCTTAGGTTCTTTTGATCTTTTAATAGAACACATAAAGTGGTTCCCGACTATGCATTTTATATTTAAGAATTTGTTCTGAAGAGAACATAACTAGCATACTCTTCAAGTTAAGGGAAAACAGTTCTTCTCATAAAATGGGAGAAAAGGCATATTTGTTTATAAGCTAGGAAGATGAGGTATACTCTCAAATCATTGGGTGGGTTTAGACCTCTTTGCATCATTACTATGGTAGAAAGTCATTCTTTTTTTTATATTTTGTCTTGCAAGTGTATTTGGAAGTCTTAGGAATGTAAGGAGAATGGAAGCTTGATCAGTAGGAATCAACATTGGCTTAATTGTTGAATTTTCCTATTTTAGGTGGGATGTCTACAACTGATCAATGCTCTCATCACACCAGCTGAAGAACTTGACTTTCGAGTTCACATCCGAAGTGAACTGATGCGCTTGGGATTGCATCAGGCATTGCAGGTTAGTTGAAATACTTTGTCATTAAAATGCTGGACAGGTTCCTTTCTGCTCTTACAGCCCCAGGCACCTCTTGTGTAACTTGGATTTCCAATTTTAAAAGTATTTGAAAGATTTAGGCTAACCAAATAAGACACTTCTGAGTCTCCTGATTCTTCTACTATTTGCCATTTATAGGATCTTCGAGAGATTGAAAATGATGATATGAGAGTACAGCTGACTGTATTTGATGAACAAGGAGAAGAAGATTCCTATGATCTGAAGGGACGGTTAGATGACATTCGCATGGAGATGGAATATCCTTTTAGTCACTGGATTCAGGGAAGATGAGACATTTGTTGTATTCATTTGCAGATCCCTGTATGGAGTGATGTCTGTACATCGATCAGGTCAGGGCTTGATGACTCTGAATAGGGCCTCAGGCTATGTTTTCTCAGTAAATAAGTCAGGTGTCTTTTAATTGCTGTTGGTCTTTGTTACCTTGATGTGGAGTAGAGAAATCAGTAAAGGTAATCTGAGGGTTAGTCAACATGGAAGCAACCAATAGAGTTAGAATGGACTTCCTAGAACATACATAATTAGCTTATTAAGATGTGAAACTGGTGTTTGAAGAACATATACAAGTTAGGGAGGGAGTTGAGTTATAACTTGATTTCTTGTATGTCTTCCTGGAACCAAAAGAGACAATAGTTTGATCACCTACTGGAATTTGTCACTAGTTATTCTTGAGTTTCTATGCTGCTTGGCCTTAATTTTCTTCACCTTCAGTTTGAACTTGAAGAACAAGAGCCAAAATATGACCTTAAATTTATCTTATCTGAATTTAAAAATTATCTCAAGAACAGATTTGAGGCATTAAATACTAAAGATTGAAGACCAGATAAATTGTGGGATGACATTAAAGATAGTATTCATGAAGTACCAAAAGGTCATTACAAAGACATACAAGAAGACTAAAATATATATCACAAGAGACTGAAAATTTCACCAGAGCATTGAGAAGCCAAAACTAAGGGTAGAGATGTCAAGGTAAAAGAAATGAGCAGATTTCAAAGGACATCTCAAAAAGACCAATGTATTAAAATGGAATGCGCAAAGAGCTGGAGTTGGAGAATAAGAAAGGAAGAACTCATTCAGCATTTCTCAAACTGAAAGTACTGAAAAGAAATTCATATCTCGAGTTGCAATACTGAGAAACGCTATGTAAAAAGTCTTGAATGATGCAGGAAGTATCGCAAGAAGGTAGAAGGAATACTTAGTCACTGTACAACGAATTGGTTGACACTGAAATATTTCAGGAAATATCGTATGATAAAGAGCCAGTGCTCATAAAAGAAGTTGTTCAAGCTCCATTGCAATCATTGACAAAATATAAAGCCTCAGGAATCAATAGGATACCAACTGACATTTTCCAGATAATAGACACAGCCTTGGACCTGCTCACCAGTTTGTGCCAGGACTTTGGAAGACAGCTGTTTCCATTCCCAAAAAACGTGATCCAACATAATGTGGAAACTACTGAATAATATAAATATCACATGCAAGCAAAATATTGTTGAAGAACATTAACATGTTGCCGCAAATTATGGCAAATGTGTTTCTAAGCATGGTCGTCAATTTTAAAAGTGTGCGGCAATGTGTTAAAACATTATTAGAACATTACTTTGAGAGAGAATGACCAAAAGTTAAAGTTGGATTTTGAAGAGCCCGTGGCACCAGGGATTTCATTGCCGATGACCAGTGGATCTTGGCTGAAAGCAGATTATTTATATTAAAACAGCCAAAATATGACTTTGATTTCATCCCACCTGAATTTCAGAATCATCTCAGGAACAGGTTTGAGGCCTTGAACACTAATGAGCGAAGACCAGATGAATTGTG